ATTTGTTGAGGATAGATCTCCTGTTACGTGGTCTTTCCACAAAAAACAACAAAAACAAAACAAAGGGACACCAGGAACCTTTTGGAGGTGATGGATATGTCTATTACTTTGATTGTGGTGATGGTTTCAGGGGTGTATGCATATCTCCAAATACATCAAATTCTATACATTAAATATGTGCAGCTATGTGTACATTAATAATACCTCAATAGAGCTGAAAATAAATAAAAGGAAAGTAAACCTGACACAGAAGAAAAGGGCTCCTTAAGACACTAACTTCCGTATTATAGGGAATTGTTTGCACAGATGCTGGATGATCTCAGAGGGAGGAGAAAAGAGACCATCGACTGCAGCTGAGTAAGAACAAGAATCCTAGTCTCATGTTCCCAAGCAACAGGAGCTCAGAAATCTTTCTAAAACGTCAGGCATAAAATCCTCTACCCCTACCTTCCGTCTCTAAGTCTCTGTTAAACTCATGGGAGAGAATATTTGTTGGGATCCAGTGTCTCTGCCCTTGGGTCAGTGAGGCACAGACAGGGCATTGAGTGACACTGAATCCAGCTGCCACTGCTTGTGACACACGGAGACCTAAGAGAGTCACAGAGCAGGTTTCTCAGAGGAAGTCATGTTTAAGTTGACATCCTGAAGATGAACTGGAGGTTATTAAGTGGGACCAGGGACCATGAACCGATAGACATTTAAGAAAGCTGGAAGAGCCGGTACAAAACTTTTCCAGCAGGAATCAAATTAGCGTGCTTAATGGGTGGAAAGATGTAGCGATGTTGCAGGAGCAAAGAGTGAGGAAGGGGATGCGTACAAGGTGAGACTGGAGAGAGGTGGGCAGACAGCAGACATCAGACTCTTCCTGACCTTATAAATCACAGTATATGACATAAAATTTAACATAAAATGTAACAGGACCCGCTGAGGTTTTTAAATAGACTTTATTTTTAGGAGCAGTTTTAGGTTCACAGCAAAATTAAGTGGAAAGTACAGAGAGGTCTCACATACAACTTGCCCTGCCATTGAGATTAAAGTATTGACTTTTTAAGTAATCAGGTTAGTGTTTGTTCTTGTTGTTGTGTGTGTGTGTGTGTGTGTGTGTGTGTGTGCACTTGCGTGTTTTGCTAATTGCCCTAGCTACAGTGTGAAAAGGAAAGAGCTGACACAAAAAGGCAATGCGTTCTTCCAGGCTGGCAACAGCATAGCCAGGATGAGGGTGGTGGTGAGAGAAACACAGGGAAATGAGAGATTTAAAAGATGTTTGGGAAGTAAAGTCAAAGGACCTAATTGATTAGACACGAGAGGCAACAGACAGGGCAGATTGAAGAAGACTACCACAGCCAGATGGATTCGGAGAACCCAGTGTGAACATCATGATTTATTGAGGTTGGGGGTGACTTTTAAGCAGAAATCCGACGGAAATGAGCAGAAGGCAGCGGCATGTACAAGTCATGGACTCAGAAAATGGATGTGGATGAGAGGTAAAAATTTGGGACATTTAGTGTAATTGGAAGAATGAAAGTGCTTATGATCCCTTGGTGATAGAATATACAAAGAGAAGGTCAGAGGATTTAAGACAGAGATTTAAGGAGCATGCGCACCTTTAATGGTTGCTTGAAAAGAGTGAGAAGGTAAATTATACTGATAAGCCATCAATCAATATTAGATTAGTGACTGAGTGATTATGTAACTAATTACCTGTAACCATTCTAAGCAGTACACGCAGGTTACCGCACCAAGCACTGCTTATTTCCTAATTCCTCTCTGATACTTGAGGTGCCTGGATGCTGTTTCACAGCTTGCAGCTGGCAAATCCCCACTCAGCCCCCATTCACCTAGAAGGTGAAGGCAGTGAGAGATCAGAGGACATCTGATGACTTTGTCACTTTGGCCACTAGGGAGTGATGTGGGTCTTTCTGTAAAATACCCCTGGATCATAAAAGAAGGCTCAGCTCTTCCTTCACCTGAGAAGAGAAATTCTTAGATCCTTCAGGTCCTTCAGGTGAGATACATTAGGCACTGGTTGGGAGAATGATTTGCAGGTATCCTGGGATGCCAATGGGTCCTTGAAATAGCAGGATCCCATCTTAAACTTTGTAACCCTCATAGCTTTTACCACATATCGAGTACATGTAGTTGTCCAATTCATACACAATTGATAAACAAGCAAATAAATCTCACCACCATTTCTATTCCACTTTGTGCTGAATTTCCTGTCAGTGGAACAAGAGAAAAAGGGTGATAATGAGAAAAGAAGGGGAAAGAAGTGATTATTGACAGACGACAAGTTTAGAGAACGATCCAAAGGAATCTATAGAAGCTTTGCATTACTAATAACAAAATTTAATAAGTTTACAGACTTCACTATAAATATAAGGAGTCAGTGTTATTTCTATATACTAGTAACAGTTGAAAGATACATTTTTAAAGAAAGAGAGGCCGTTTACAAAGAGTAACATAAAATATAAAACACCTAAAAATCTATTCAGAGATAAGCAAGACTTTAATATAGAAAATTATTAACCCTTTAGAGGAAGACATTTTAAAAATCTAAAATAAGTTGAGATATATACCATGATCATGAATAAGTAAACTCAATGGTAAGAGTATTCCAATTTCTGCAAATGTAATCTACAAATTCAATGTAGCACTAATCAGAATCACAAAAGATATTTTTTCACGAAATTTGGCTAAAATAGTCTGAAATTTAAGTGGAAGAGAGGGACAAAATAGGCAAGATAGGATTGAAGAAGTTCAAACTGAGGTAATTTGTCCTACCAATCATCAAATTATTTTATAATTTAGGGTAACAAAAAAGCATAAATAAATAGAAAAATGAAAAATAATAGATTAAAAATAAGCCCATGCCTACATAGGCACTTAATTTATGATAGAGCCATCATTGCAAGTGTGTAGGGGAATGATGGAATATAAAACTAAGCTATTCTGGGACAAGTGCTCATCCATACAAGGAAAGAGTAATTTAAACCCTTCCTCACAGCATGATCAAAAATGAATTCGAAATGGATTAAATGCTTAAATGCAACGTTCAAAATATTAATTGGGTAAGTAATATAAGTATATCTATATGAACCTGGGCTATGGGATCATTTCTTATAAAGAATTTAGAAATGCATATCCCCCAAAAGAGAATGATTAACAATTAAATTAATAAATTCAACAAAAGGCATTACAAAAAGAGTGAAAACACAAGCAACAAACTGGAAAGATATTAGCAACACACGTAACTGACAAAGTTTTGGTATCCGGAATGTGTAAAACACCGTTACAATTAAATAATACCTAAGCATCCAAAAAGAAACATGCGCAGAGAGGGATTTACAGAAAACACGAGTGGCCTATAAATATAAGAAATATGTTCAACCTCCCTAGTAATCATAAAAATGCAAACTAGAACTGCAGTGAAATACAATTTTAACCTAATACATGTGCAAAATTAAAAGAATATTAAATTCCAATTGAGTCCTAGATGTGGAACATTTGAAAACACTCATGAAGTGAAGTAGAGGCTATTTACTCAGCTTAATTAATTTGGAAAGCATTTTGCCATATTAAGTAAAGTTGACATGGTTTCCCTAGTCTCAATCTTTACATTCCCAGGAATAGAGAAAATTCTGCTTCTAGGGATGCAGAGAAACGTACAAGAATGCAGTCTTGTTGGCAATCCCGCGAAAGCCTAGGAAAAAACAGTGTGCGTTAATTCAAGAATGGATAATAAATTCTGGTAAAGAAATAGAATGGAATCCTACATATTAGTGAAAATGAATTATCTAAAAGTATGTACATCAACATGAATTAATATCACAAACAGAACGTAGAATAGGAAAAGCACATGTCACAGAGAAAAATGTGAACAGGATGATCCCTTAGATAAATTTCAAAGACACACAACATTAAAAAATATACAAATTACACATTCTTACATAAATGCTAAAAATTATAATGAAAAGCAAATGAATAAAAATATAAACTTTAGAGGTTGTGGAGAAAAAGGAACCCTCATACACTGTTGGTGGGAATGCAAACTGGTACAGCCACTATGGAAAACAGTATGGAGATTCCTCAAAAAGTTAAAAATAGAAATACCCTATGACCCAGCCATCCCATTACTGGGTATCTATCCTAAGAACCTGAAATCAGAAATCTCAAGAGTCCGTTGCACCCCTATGTTCATCGCAGCATTATTTACAATAGCCAAGACGTGGAACCAGCCTACATGCCCAGAAACTGATGACTGGATAAAGAAGATATGGTACATATACACAATGGAATACTACTCAACCATAAAAAAAGACAAAATTGGCCCATTCACAACAACGTGGATGGACCTCGAGGGTATTATGTTAAGCGAAATAAGCCAGTCAGAGAAAGACGAACTCTATATGACTCCACTCATAGGTGGAAGTTAGTATATTGATAAGGAGATCTGATCGGTGGTTACCAGGGAAAAGGGGGGGTTGGGGGAGGGCACAAAGGGGGAAGTGGTGTACCCACAACATGACTAACAAAAATGTACAACTGAAATCTCACAAGGTTGTAATCTATCATAACATAAATAAAAAAATATATATATAAACTTTAGGGTTATAGTGACCTGGAGATGGTAGAGATAGAACAATGAAATCTACAAGAATAACACAGGGGCCATAAAATTCTTATTGATAATCTATCTCCTAAGCTGATTGGTTCGGGCAAGAATATTCATTTTATTGTTTCACTAGATGCATTCAATATTTGTCATAGATATTTTTTTGGAAAGTTCAACATTTAACTTTTTAACGTAAAGTCACTGCTATTTGATTTTATAAGTGTGGTGAAAGCTATGATTGATATACATCAAGCTGTATGATGTATTTCCTGAGATGGAAGGAAGGAGGGGGGAGGCACATTAACAGGTTCAAAAAGCAAATAAATAAATGATATGTAAGTGATTTTACTTAAAATAAAAATGAAAGAGCAGAGTCAAGGAAAAAGAAAATAAACGCAGCTTGAAATTCACACTAGTTTTCACCAGCTCTGCCTGCCCAACCACATCCTGTGAAATGTTTTAGTCTCAGGCACACAGCAACTGTGAAGACCATGGGAAACGACCACATCACAAGGAGGTTGCTGATGGGGGATGAGGAAGCCGTAGAGAAAAGGCCACCTGCCATTGCTTTTCCCTGAGCCAGCCATGTGCTGCAGACTTCTCTGCTGTGTGGCCCTTTTTTTCTGGGGAGCAGGTGAGTTCCTGTGCGAACATGTCTGGTTCCAGTTTTAGGAGTCGCACCTGGGGCTGCCGTACCAAGCTCCCTCCTGGGTCCTTTATCTACTTTTTGTCTCTTTCCTCCACAGGCTCCATGGACACTAAGGTCACCCAGAGGCCTGGACATCTGGTCAAAGGAAAGGAACAGAAAGCAAAGATGGATTGTGTCCCCATAAAAACACATAGTTATGTTTATTGGTATCGCCGGAAGCTGGAAGGAGAGTTTGAGTTTTTGGTTTACTTACAGAATGGAAAGATTACAGATAAAATAGAAGGGTTTGATCAGCAATTCTCAGCTCAATGCCCCCAAGATGCATCCTGCAGCCTGGAAATCAAGTCCACTGAGCCAGGAGACTCTGCACTGTATTTCTGTGCCAGCAGTGAATCCACAGTGCTGAACGTGAGCTTTTCTTAGCACACAAACTCATCGTGGACCCAGATCAGGAAATAGTGGTGTGTTAGGTGAACAGGAACTAACAGAAACCAACTTGAAAGAGCATAAACCAGAAGGAAAAATGTGCAAATGGCAGCTCTAGGTGACCAGAAAAGAATGTTTAAAACAGCTTATGGGGACAAGAAACCCAAGGAAAGGGAAGCAAAGTGTAAAAGGGGCTCAGCTTCTTCGAGTTGCAGGATATCTGGTAAAGGAAATGCCCAAAATACCCTTTTGTTCACCATGAACTTGATGAATTTCTAACAATATTTATAAAAATCTGGAATCTGTGTTTTCCACCTGGCAAACTTGTGCGTTCAGGAATAAGGATAACAGGCAGGTCAGCTGTCTTTCCTGAGGACCCTGATCCTCTGGCCCAGCACATTCCATTGAACCAGACCCAGAGACTCATTAAGGGTTCATGACTGCTTCTCACAGCTGTCCCTGCCATAGAATCTCAGTGGGAAACTCAGCTCCTCCCTCCCTCAGAAATACTACCATCATGCAACTTTGAAAGCAACTCTATTGAGGTGTAACGTACACATGATAAAATGCACTCATTTTAAGTATATTTGTCAATACATTTTGACAGATCTTTACACCCATGTAACCAGCATGACAATCAAGATACAGAATATTTCCCTCTCCCCCAAAAGTTCCCCCATGCTCCTTTATTGAGGTCTTTGTTAATTTCTCTCAGGATTGCTCTGTTGTTTTTTTATTGTACACATCTTACATGTATTTTGTTGAATTTTTCCTAAATTTATTTTAAGAAATCTATTATGAACGTACATTTTAATACTCACAGGAAATTTATTATTAAAATATTTTCTGCCAAGATTTCCCATTAGCACAATTTAATTTAGTCTTTACATCTCAACTGATGTCTCAACCTCGGTATATTACATAAAAGTATCTTCCCCGGAAGTCGGTGTTCACCAGCCACCACACGTGAGCTCACGTCAGCCTCATCTCCTGAGTGATCCAAGTGTTCGTACTGCTCTGCTTTAAGGTAAAATACACTAATTCAAACGTATCAAAAAAAGTCGTGAAACTTCTGTGAAGTGCACTTTAGGAAGAGATACTTTTTGTTTGTAAAAATAAACCAACGAGTTATGAATAATTAAAGGGAGTATTTACAGTTAAGCACATCATTTGGAGGGAAGAATTCAGGTGTTGCAGCTCTGCTGGTCAAGTCTGTCAGTCTCTTCTTGTTCCTGCTGTGGGCCACTCATCAGGCCCGGAGTCCTACAGACAGTATCATCTTTCTCCTCGTCCTCCTGGCAAATCAATTCAGTGTTCCTTAGCTTTCAGGATCCAGATTGGAAATCTCTTCATTTTGTTTGGATTGTTTAGATTGCTTCCTTTTAATATAATTAGCAATATATCGGGGCAGAAATGCCTCCTTTGCTGTTGTTTTCTATTTGTCTCCTTTACCCAATTTCTTTTTTCTCCTTATGGGTAACCATTTTTAATATTCTCTTGGTTTATCTTTTCAGTGTTTCTTTTGAAAATATATAAACATTCCAGATGAAGAGTGGCAGCATTAGAGCCGTAGAATGGGAGCAGAGTGTGGAATCCTTTGCAAAATGGGAAAGGGTGTTGAGGCATATAACCTTTTTCATTGTTTCCTCCTTTGCACTATCTCTGAAACCTGACACTAATTCACAACGAATGCCACAAGGATCTTAAACCCACTGGAATTGTATGAAATTCTGTCAAGAAGAATAGTGTTCGGATCCTGCGAGCGGACGTGGCACCACTCGTCAGACCATGTTGAGGTGGTGTCCCACATGCTGCAACTAGAAGGACCTGCAACTAAGATGTATAACCATGTACGGGGGTTGGGGAGATAAAACAGAAAAAAAAAAAAGAAGATTGGCAAAATTTGTTAGTTCAGGTGCCAATCATTAAAAAAAAAAAAGGAGAGATTAGAATTAAAAAAAAAAAAGAATAGTGTATGTTACCATTCAATGAGATCTGAAGTGTCTTAGAATTAATAACACACGCTATTGTAAGGGAGTATTTTGAACTATTTACTGTGTAGATATTTTTGCTTTTCGGGTTTGGGAATATTACTTCTGATTACAAGCTTCCTTAGCATAAAGCCTCACTCTTTCAAGCAAGAAAGTATATTTCTATTATACTGTGTCCGTGTGATTTTCTATTCTAGTTATGCCCCTCAAGAATCACTTGCACATCATGATAATGAGAATGATGAGGATACTGATGCTGCTGCTGCTGATGATGATGGTAACTGATAATGAAGATGGTATACAGAAATATAGTTTTTAGAAATTGTATCGTGTTCCCAGGACCAGATGCAATCATGGTAAGTAGCTCTCATTGTCCTGATTTGGGTCTGTAAATTAGTCTAAAGAACTGGTTTAAATGTTTTTTCCTTTTTTTTTAATCAGGACACCTTTGACAAATATGAGATTGCACACATGGGTAAACTATTTCTGAAGATATGTGGACTTCCTACTGCTTCCGGACCATGGATTCCAGCATGAAGCATATTCTTTTCTAACGTAGAAATTTTTAACCTGGGACCCATGGACCTTCCATAAATGGAATTCAGGGAATCCATGAGTTTGAAGGGTAAAAACACTAATCTCTAACTAAAATGCAGGATTTAGTTCATGATATAGTGAATAGACCACAGAAATGTCAGCAATACCTGTGACAGAATCAATAGAAATCACAGATATTTGCATATACTACAGTTGATATGAAAGTCACAGGTATTTTCATATCACATTCCATAGAGTAAATATCACTTACCCTCATCACTACTTTGAAATCATGGAAGTTTTCAGACTTACTAGGATATATTTCATTTAATGAAATTTAAAGATGTATGTATATTAATATATCATAAATTTTCAAATAATACTTTGATAATTACATTTCAGAATAGTTGGTTCCCTTTGTAATATTATGTATTCTATTTTACAGGTTTAAAGCATTATCTGAGAAGGGGTCCTAAGGATTTACCAGATTACCAAAGGGGCCCCTGGTACCAACAAGGGTAAGAGCTCCCATAAGAGGATGAGATGCTCAACTTTGCAGATGTGACTGAAAACCTGAAGCCGAAACCCAAACATTGGAAGCAACCTGTCAGCAGGATTCTTTCTCAGAGTTCTACACACATTGCTGTACTTTCTAATGATTTTCATTCTAAATCATCACATCACTTCCTTTCCCCTTCTCTCTCTCCCTCTCTCTCTCTCTCACACACACACACATATACATGCCTTTCTTCCAGGAAGGGGCAGCAACAGTTTCTAAGCTACCAGATTCCAACCAAAAGTTTCATCATGAAAATGTCTTTTGTCACAGATGACTTCAGGCATAAAAGTGAAACGAATGTTTATCCACCAAAATGACAGCATTCATTAAGAAGTAATTAATCTATGATCACATTTTCATTTATCTAAGACTCTTGAGAAGAAACTATGTCATGCAGTGAATTCACACTCACTGTATAAATTTCAACTCAGTGCTGGGAAATGATGTTTTAGTTAGCTGGTGCAACCCTCTGTCAGCAAATGTCTCATTTTCCTTCACATAGCATTAACTTCCTAAATCCTCTGAATTAGAATGCTAGTTCCAGAAAACAATAATAGAAAACAGGTATATGGTGCTTATTTTGAGTTAAAAACTGTTTTAAATTATTTATTTATATAATATTCACAACAACTTTAGAAGTAGATACTCATTATACCCATTTTACAGATGAGAAATCACATCAAAGGGAGGGTGAGAGACTTGCCCAAGGTTACATAGCTGCCAAATGGCCCGGGCAGGACTCAAGCCCAGGCCGTCTCCCAAATCCCTGCTCTAATGCACTGCCACTAATAAACTGTCACAGTTTATTCTGGTAAATAGGACCTTCTGCACTGCAGTAAATATATAAATATATAAAGCCTATTGACAGCCACTAAAGAAGTCATAAATAAGTGAAAATAGGTGCTATCTTTATAGCTTGGATAGATTCAGTGTTTTAAAAAATGTTCATTTTTTCCAAATTGATTTATACATTTAATATAATCCAATCAAAATCACAAGTTTTTGATAGAACTTGATAAATTACATCTAAAATTCGTATTATGCTGCAAAGGGCTGAGAATAGCTAAGACCCTCTTGAAGTAGAAGAACCAAGTGGAAGGATCTTACAATGTCAACAATTATTATAAAATGACAACAATAAAGGCAGTGTAGCATAGGGCCAGTGATACATAAATTGATTCATGGGGAAAAAAATATAGATATGTACATATACACACAGAAGTGGTACTGCAGACAAAAGAATATATCTTTCCACAAGTGTTGATGGTGAAATTGGGTACCTGTAGGAAGAAAGATGAAATTGGTCACTCACCTCACAGGGTATCTAAAGTTAGTTCCAGCTGTATTAGAAGCATAAATACTAGGCCACAAAGCTTTAAGAATATAGCTTAGGAGTATATCCTCAGCATCTCAAGGCAGGGAAGAATTTCTTAATTCTATTAATCAGTAAGGAACTGATTGATAAAAATGATCACATCGAAATCAGTTTATTCCATCATCAGAGTTAACCATATAAGAATGAAAAGTTTAACTATATAGTGAGATATGATCATATATTAATATATATTTATACAAATATATCTAATATATTTATTAGATATTATATATATCTCCATATACAGATCTAAATTTATGTACCCCAGAAAGGCTAACATATAAAATTTATACAGAACACATACAAATTAATTTCTCTACCAATGAGAAAAAATGAATCCAATAGATAAATGGGTAAAAATTTCAAAATCCACCTCACAAAAGACAAAATTTAATAGGCCACTAAACATGTAAACATTGATAAATTTAATTATTAATCAAGGAAATACAAACTAATACCCCAATAAAATATATAACAAGAATGGCTAGAATGAAAAAGTTACACTATATCAAGTGTTGACAAAAGAACGTGTCAAGAACTCTCTTTAACCATTGGACAGAGTATATTCTGGTAGATCTACTTTGTAAAGCAATTTGGCATTATCTAGTAAAGTTTAAGGTGAGTATACATTTTGGAAGTGATGGATACATTTATTACCCTGATTGTGGTGACGGTATCACAGGTGTTTGCATCTGTACAAACCCATCAGATTCTATAACTAAATATATGCAGTTTTTTTGTATATCAATTGCACCTCAATAAACCTGTAAAAAAAAAAACAAACAGGATGCGTGTACACATTATCCAGCAATTCTACCCTTGAGAAACTATTTCCTAGAAGAACTCTTATATGTAAAAACTAGGAAACAAGTACATTTAGTCTAATACTATTTTGTAACAGGAAAAAACATGACATACCCAAATGAATATCACCAGAAGACTGGATAAATAAACGATGGTGTATTGCTATGAAAAATTATACAGCAGTGAAAAAGAATGGCCTAAAATTAAAGACATCAATATTACTGAATATTATGATATTGAACGAAAAATTACATTACAGAAGATATATACAGCATTGTCCCATTGGTACAAAGTTTAAAACAGGAAAACTACACACTATTTTGTTTACTTATAGACCTATGTATTAAAATATAGATTAGAAGTAAGGAAAGATAAACACAAACACCTCAATAGAGTTAGAGAATAGGGAGTGGGGGCGCATCAGATCTGGGAAAGAAATAGGAGATTTCAAAGACTCTGGCACTATTTTATTTCCTAAGAGGATTTATTTGTTCAAGTGCTCATTTGATTGGTATTTTATCAAATTCTTGTGTATATATTCAATATCTACTTTTTAATGTGGAGAAAACATCCTCATAGAACAACTGAATAATCTATGAAAACATACACATTACGCTTAACTTTACTTACCTAGAATGGGGGTGGAATGAAGGAAGAAGAAAATAAGCACATATAGAGCATGAAAAAAGAAGTGCTTTATTTAAAATAAAGAGTGATGGAGAGAAAAATCAGGGAAGATAAAGTGAGTTTATCTAAAATAAACACTAATAGATGAACAAGCTAGAATACACCAGAAATATCAAGAAGGTGAAACATTCTGCAAAGCAGTGGCTAGTCTCAGAATCATACAAACAACATTAACAATAGGGATCTGTATTATATTAAAAGATAATCAGGTAATTAATCATCAAAAGCAGTGCCCAGTCCTGAGTTAGAAATGGATGTTCAAATCAATGACAAAGGACATTTTTGAGACCACTGCTAAACTTTGAAGAAAAACTGGGTAGTAGATAAAATGAGAATGCAATGAAAGGGAAAAATGATGATCATTAACTGAAAAAAACAGATTCTAAAACAGTATTAACAGAATAACATATTTTTTATTAAAAAGAGTATGTCTATGTACAGACTTACACACATAGATAGAGAAGGAGGGAGAGATCTGGAAAGAATATCACTAAGGTGTTAACACTGATCATCGTTGGCAGTTATATGGTGTTTTATGTTATCTTTATTTTCTAACTTTCTAAAAATATATATATATACAGTTTCTCTTAGTAAAAATAGATATAAAATGTTTTTAACATGAATATTTTAATTTGAATAACATATAAACTATGTTTACTGAGCGAGGATAAAAGCTTTCCTTGTGATACCATGAAGTGGTTTTGTCCTGTAACATGAAGCAGTAACATAAGGATTATGAGTCTGCAAAGCAATCACGTCACAGGGAGGTTGCTTGCTGATGGGACATGGAAAAGCCTCATCCTTTTGCTACTTCAATGCCACCATGGGTGCAAGTCTCCTCTGCTGTGTAACCCTTTGTCTCCTGGGAGTACAAGTGAGTCCTGAGCACAAAAGAAAAATCTTGTTCTGGGCTTGACAACTCCCAGTCCCAAGCTTTTTCCTTGTCAGGCTCCCTCCTGGGCTTAGTCTCTAGCTGCTATGTCCTCTTCTTACAGGCTCTATTGATGCCAAGGTCACCCAGACTCCAGGACATCTGGTCAAAGGCAAAGGACAGAAACAAGGATGGATTGTATTCCCAAAAAAGGACATAATTCTGTTTATTGGTATCAACAGATCCAGTAAAAAGAATTTAAGTTTTTTATTTATTTTGAGAATGTAAAAGTTCTTGATAAAATTGAGTTAGTTAAGGAGAGATTCTCAGCTCAATGCCCCAAACACTCACCCTACAGCCTGGAAATCCAGTCCTCTGAACCAGAAGACTTGGCACTGTATTTCTGTGCCAGGAGCCAATCCTTAGAACTAAAATGGTAGCTCCTCTTAGTGCGCAAACTCATCATGGACCCAACTCAGGAAGCAGGTGATATAGGAGGTTGGAAGGAAGTAACAGTGGAATTTAGTAAAAGGCTAAAGGATGTTTAGCAGCAGTCAAGAAGTGGTGGATGGACAATTCTGGAAAAAAACCACTTGCCCAGGATCTGGAATTACTTCTTCTCCAGTTCTCATGTTTCTTCTCTTATTTGGTCTGCTGCAAGCTTTCTCCCCCTGTATTCTGTCTTTCTCTTTTCCTCCAGTTCTTATGACAAAGATAAGATGGTCATTGAAGGTCATAACTTCAGCTGTCATGATTATACCACACCAACAAAGGTCAGCCTAGTTCATTCTAACCCTAGGTTTAAAATCCCAGAAGAAGGAATAGACTGGTCATGATCCAGCCATGAACCTTCTCCAAGAGAATTCAACTCCTGCTGTGTATGTATGTATGTATTTAAAATCATGTAAATTTTACTTTATTATGCACGCAATTCTGTCTCTTAGATTATTCCAGTCAGCTCAAAGTAAGTGCAATGCTTCATTTTTGTGTACGTACATCTAGTCTGTGGTTTCTTTCTTTTCTTTTTCTTTTTTTTTGAGGAAGATTAGCCCTGAGCTAACTGCTGCCAAGCCTCCTCTTTTCGCTGCAGAAGACTGGCCCTGAGCTAACATCCATGCCCATCTTCCTCTATTTTATATGTGGGACGCCTACCACAGCATGGCTTGCCAAGCAGTGCCATGTCCACACCCGGGATCTGAACCAGCAAACCCTGGGCTGCCAAAGCAGAACATGCGCACTTAACACTGCACCACCGGGCCGGCCCCATAGTCTGTGGTTTCTAAATGATGTACATTACTCCATACATACTTCTCCAGAAACAGACATCCAGTTTTCCTCCAATTTCTTGCTGGTATTTGAATATGCTTGTACATCTCACATCCTGGACCTGTATAATCATTTATAGGATTCTGTACCCAGAATCATAGATTGCTGAGACATGGAGTACTATATGTATATGTTATTCTGTGTATCTAAATACCACCAGAGGACTCCAGAATACTGGATAAGTCTAAAATCCTACATAAAAGTGCATAAGGCTTCCTATAGCCCCCCCATCCTCTTATGGCATTATCCAGCTTTCTAGATTGTTGCCCCCCCAGCAGTATAAAGAGATTTCAATCTCTCTTCCAACCCTCTCTACAGGTGGATTTCAAAATGCTTCTATAAAACTCTGTGTATTTTCTATAATAACCTTTGCATTTGGCTCTCCAAGACTATTCAGAACTATCTTGTCCCCATCTTAGACTGTCATGATAAAGAGAATCCAAGCAGCCAAGAGAATAAGGTGGCCAAGCAGAGATACTCAGTCATGAAAGAATTCAGTGATGGGGCCTAGCCCAGTGGCATAGCAGTGGGGTTGCATGATCCACTTTGGCAGCCTGGGGTTCGCCGGTTCGGATCCCAGGTGCAGACCTACGCACTGCTTTCAAGCCCTACTGTCGCAGGTATCCCACATATAAAATAGAAGAGGATGGGCATAGATGTTAGGTCAGGGCCAATATTCCTCAGCAAAAAGAAGAGGATGGGCCTCAGATGTTAGCTTCCTCAATTAAAAAATCACAAAATTCAATGATATGTTATATTCAATGTTTTCATTGATGAATGAACAGGGTAAGACCAGGTACATAGGAAGGCATGCACCCTCCATACCTAGGTCCAGGGCACACCTAACCTTCACAGAGAAGGAGTTGGTTGTGCTGGCTCTCAAGAAAGGTGTCAGAGAGAAGAGAAGGTGGAAGAAACACATAAGTAAGATTTCAGACAATATGGCTTGTCAGCAGAACTAAGAAAGTTATGTCAGAAGCCTACAGATAATAAGTGAAGCAGTTAGTGTAAGTCCTTCAGAAAAATCCTTTCCTAAGAAAAACCAAAAAATTACGTTGACCAAAAAAAATTACATTCACCACAAATTTTGTATGACCCAATTAAAACGAAGCAAAATATACAAACATACGTTTAATAGAAGAGACATCTATGACCAATAAACAAATGAGGAGATACTTGACTTCACAGATGATTAGAAAAATTTGAATTTGACAAAATGATATGTAAGTTTAAATCCATTAAATTAGCACTATATAAATCTTGGAAATATAAACTATTAGAGAGGGTACGGATCCACAAGATTACTGGTGAGAGCTTAAATGCTACAAACAATTTGGAAACAGTCTGATATTATCTCTATAATTTACCAATCCTGCATTCCTTGACCCAGCAATTCCACTCCTAGGTTTACATAAGGAGAAGCTCTTCCATATGAACATGAGAAGACAGAAATACAAAAGTGTTCTAAGTAGCACTTTTCAGAGCACCAAGACGGGGAACCAAGCCACATATGCATTAACAAGAGGGTGAACATATAAACTTCAGTGTATTCATACTACAGAAACTATATATACATCAATCAAAATGAGTGAACTCCAGTAATGAGCAATGGTATAGGTGGAGCTTCGCAATATAATATCAAATGCAAAAACAAACTCTAATAAAATTATGTAAAGCATGATGAACTTTTTATAAATCTAAAACAACTAAATCAAGAAAATAACGTTTATGACTACAAATAGATTAGATAAAATAATATTTAAGGGAAGGCAAGGAATAGTTTTCGCTGGAACCACATTTTTTCCAGCTCATAAAAACTAATTATACACATCTTCCTGAACTCCAGTTTCAAAGATTTCATGTAGATAGCTTGAATTAGCCATAGCGGGAATATACACACCATGGTTAACAGCAGACACAGCCAACCAAGGCTTGTTTTATTTTCCTCCAGAGAGCTGGTGGTCAAATATTTAGCAACGCATACTGACAAGGAATGATGATGACTTAAGTTGAGGATGATATTTCATGTGGGATGTGTATGGGGAGTGGTAGGAGATGGGACGGGACAGAACCACATTGCTAAATTTACTTGTTGTCAATATCTATCTTGACTATTGCTGTACAAGGTGGAGAGATGTTCTACAACTACCTAGCATATTTTTAAATAAATAAAAAACCATGCATCCACACACATTGCCTGTGTGTGATGAACCAAGGGTTAAGATGAAACAAATCCTATGCATATGAGATACAAAAAGAGAAAAAACGTAAAGCAAATAACCGAAGGTACTGGAGTCTGTGAAAAAGGAGAATGAAGAGCATTGTGTAGTGAGGATCAGGGAATGAGGACTTAGATACCAAGTGTGAAGATGAAGGCGTGGAAACAAGACCTTGTCCCTGACCAAAGTAGAATTGAACGGGCTAAGACGGGAGTCAGTTCAGTGAGGGACATGCTCTCACGTTATATCCACATGATGACCAGGTCCATGTTGTTACTGGTGATTAAATACCCCACCTGGGGTCAGTCACCTCAGACTGTGTTCATTGCCACTGAAACGAGGGACCCATTTTAATTGGAGCCCCTACTCTGTCAGCATTTTCAGCCTGGAGAAGAGAGCTAGGAAAATACTTATTAAATATCCCACTGCTACCTTCACCAATGGCAAGAAGAATAGAAGAGCATTTTAGGCTCTGGCATGAAACATGGTAAGAAAGTGATCACACCTCTATATGAAGCAGTCTTTTGTTTCCCTCCTCTACATTAAACTTCATAGTATTGCAGTGTCAGTTAGCACTGATGGATGCTGTGTCCACACTTACCCTTTCCATCCAGCTGACTGTTAGAGACACAGCCTGCTGCCCATATGTCTTATTTTAGGGGAATAAGGCAATAACACTGAACATAACCCAACCCAAATTTGTGTCCTGGTCTCCTTGGACTGGGACCATTAAGATAAAATCCTAAAACCTTTCCTCCAAACTTTTCATGATATAATTGAACAATTCTCTTTAAGTGTAACACTTTCTTTTTGTGCTGTGTCTATGTCCTACTCTCTGGGCTGCATTGTATTTGAAACCAAGTTAACCTTTGATAATGCCTTATTCTTCTTTGTATCTTCCTTTCATCATGGCTGGGACAAAGTAGGGTTTCTCAGAACTTTTGTTGAATGCCACAGAGTAGGAGAGAAGGACAGAAGAACAGAAGGAAGCAAGATCCCTCAAATATGGGTATCAGATCCTTGATGAAAGAGAATAATGCAAATAGATCAATAGAATCAAAGTACACAAGGTGAGAGGGAGAATTTACAGATTTTCTTATAGTTGTTCTTTGAAGTACTTACATCAAAAATTCAAGTAGAATAACAAAAGATGAGAAAAGTCAACTATAAACCACTAAACAGAGTTCCATCAATGCTTGAAACCATTGCTTAGCTGAGGTGGAAGAGGAAAGAAGGAAACAAAGTCAAATCACTTCCTCTCTCCAATCCTGGTCTCCACTTCCTTGGCACTCAATATATGTACCCAGATATCACATCTGCTCACTACCTCTACTCAACAGAGAAAATGGAAAGATTATATGAGCTAATGAATGGAAAATAAAGGAACAAAAGATATGAAAAGTTAGAGAAGGAAGTGGTAAATATTAATATTTCAGAAACTAAGGACCAATAATGAAGACATTCGTTTCTCAACTTTCCCAGCACAACACTATCCCCCACACTAACACGTATTAAGCCAAGTTGTATGTATAGTCAAGAAAAAAAGGTCTCATTCTACTTATGTACAAGATCAGTTCTAGAGGCAACAGGATCCACCGGAATAGTGACCTCACAGGAAGACCTGCCTCAAGGGAGGCAGCAGTGAAGTCTAGCCCCCTGAGCTGCTGCAGTCAGCACCCTTCCTGGGCCCTGAATATAGGCTCCCCTTCATGTCCAACTCTGCCTTGGGCAACCAACTCCTCTGCTGGGTGGTCATCTGGCTCCTGGGGGCAGGTGACTTCTGGGATAGTGGATCAACATCGCTGGTCTTTGTCTATGGCTCTATAGCTATGTCTCAAACATGCCCTGGACCTTCATGTTGCCCAAAGGTTCTGTGAAAGAAATTGACATTCAACTGAAAGAAACTAATTGCATTATGGAGTGAAAAGCAAAATTTATGTGAATTTTTAAATGAACACAGGAGACTTCAAAAACATTTTATCTTGCCTTTGGTTGCTTCATTCTAAGGCACTCACTTCCTCTGCCAGCAGGACTCTGTCTCATGCAATCTTTCCTTTTCTGAGTTCCCACAAATGCCAGCATCATCCAGGACCCAAGACATCTAGTCAGGGGAGAAGCTAGGAGGCAACACTGAGATGCAGTCCGGTGACAGAACACAGTCGTGTTTACTGTTAGCAGCAGCTCGTGAAGGAGGGTCTGAAATTCGTGATGTACCTGCAGAAAGAAAAAGTCATAGATGATTCAGGAATGCCAACAAAATGCTTTTCTGTTGAATTTCCCAAAGAGGGACCCAGGGTCTTAAAGATCAACCTGGGAGACCCAGCAGTGTATTTCTGTGCCAGATCCTATCCACACCAAAACAGGGTCACATCCTGGAAATATAAACTATTAGAGAGTGTATGGGTCCACAGGATTGTTTGTGCAAGCACAAGTGATACGGAATTATCTCATATTCTGGGATTATCTCATATTCTTCTTCATTCCTGTATTCCGTGACCCAGTGATTCCACTCCTGGGTTTACCTCAGGAGGTGCTCTTACTCGTGGTCATCAGAAGACATAAATAGAAAAGTGTTCTAAGCAGCACTATTCATGGTAGCAAAACATAGAGCCGATCTACTGAGGCATTGACAAGAAAGTGAAGGAATAAATGGTGGGATATTCATTATTCATGTGATGGAAACCATATATATATATATCAGTCAAAGTGAATGGACTCCAGCGATGAGCAAAGTTGCAGATGAACCTTAACAATATAATATCAAATTCATAAACTATCCTGATAAGATTAGGTAAAGCATGATGCACTTCTATAAAGCTAAAAGCAAGTAATAAAGAAATTATTTTTGTGACTGAAAATCTATTAGATAAAATAATATAAAAGGGAAATCAAGAAACATTTGTTGCTGTAACTGGCTTTTACCTGCTCATGAGAGTTGATTGTAAACAACTTTCTGAACTCCTATTTCAAAGACATCACCTGGATACCTTAAAATCAACCATACTGGGAATATGTACACCACGGTTAACAGTAGACACAGCAAATTGGGGCTTTGTTATTTTCCTCCAGAGAGCTGGTTGTCAAACCTTTGCCAACACACCCTGACAAGGAATGATGATGACTCAAGTTTAGGATGGTGTTTCTTATGTGACTTCAATGGGGAGTGGTCAGAGATGGGAGGGGACAGAATCACATTGCTAAATTATATATTGTCAAGGTCTGTGTTGATTACTGTTGTGTGAGTGAGAGAGATGCTCTAAAAGTACCTACTTTTTTTAATAAAGACAAAACATGCATCAACAAACAATGTCTGTGTGTGATGAACCATGGGTTAAGATGAATCAACTCCTATGCGAATGACCTCAAAAAAGAGAAAAAATAAATAACTGAAGGGATTAGAGTCTGTGAGACGGGAAAATGAAGATCACAGTGTAGTGAGAATCAGGGAGAGAGGACTTAGATACCATGTGTGAAAATGAAGATGTGGAAACAAGACATTTCCCTTGACCAAAGTAGAACTGAACAGACTAAGATGGGAGTCAATTCAGCAATGGACATGCTGCCACATTCTCTCCACGTGGTGACCATGTCCATATTGTTACTAGTGATTATATATCCTACCTGAGGTCAGTCACCTCAGACTGTGTTCATTGCCACTGAAACCAAGGACCCATTTTAAATAAAGCCCCCTAATCTGTCAGCATTTTCAGCCTGGAGAAGAGAGCTAGGGAAATACTTATCAAATGCACTTCTCTCCTCACCAATGGCAAGGAAAAGAAAAGAACATTTTGGGCTCTGACATGAAACATGGTGAGAAAGTGATCACATCCCTATCTCCAGCAGTCATTGATTTCCCTCCTCTACATTATGCTTCACAGCATTGCAGTGTCAGTTAGCAGAGATGGATGCTGTGTCCACACTTGCCTTTTCCCATCCAGCTGACTGTGAGAGACACAGCTGCTGCCCATATGTCTTATTTTAGAGGAATACGACAATTGCAATGAACATGTTACAATTAAATTTGCATCCTGTCCTCCTTGGACCAGGATTTATAATAAAATACATTAACCTTTTCTGCAAATTTTTCATGTTATAAATGTGTGATTCTTTGTAAAGGTAACACTTTCTTAAGTGCTCCAAGTCTGTATCCTACCGTCTGGGCTGTGTGGTATTTTGAAACCAAGTTAACCTTTGATAGTGCCGTATTCTTCTTTGTATCTTCCTTTCACTATGCCTGAGAAAAAAATAGAGTTTCTCAGAATTTCTGTTCAGTTCCACAAAGTCCGAAGGAAGGACAGAAGAATGGAAGGAAGGAAGATCCTTCAGACATAGGTATGCCATCCATGATAAAAGAGAATAATACAGATAAATCAATAGAATCAGGGGATACCAGGTGAGTGGGAGAATTTATACATTTTATACTGGTTGTTCTTTGAATTACTTATATCAAAAGTTCAAGTAGAATAACAGGAGATGAGAAAAGGCAATTATAAATCATAAAGTTAGGATTTTTCAAAGTGCTTGAAACCATTGCTTAGCTGAGGTGAAGGAAGAAAGAAGAAACTGAGTCAAATCTTTTCCTGTCTCTAATTTTTTTTCCGTCAATACTAGTCCCCATTTCCCTGTCTCTCTATACATGTTCCCAGATATCACATCTGGTCACGACCTCTATGCAGCAACAGAAACTGGAAAGATGTTATGAGCCAACGATAGGAAAATAAAGGAACAAAACATATGCAAAAGTAGAGAAGGAAGCTGTAAAAATTAATGTTTCAGAAACTGAGGATGAATAATGAAGATATTCACCTCTCAACTTTCCCTGCACAACACTCTCGCACTCACTAACATGTAGTAAGCCAAGTTGCAAGTATAGTTAAGAAAATAAAATGCCCCAGTCAACTGATGTACAAGATCAGTTCTAGAGACAACAGGATCCACTGGGAAGGGTGACCTCACAGGAAGACCACCTCATGGGAGGCAGCTGTGAGGTCCAGCCCCCTGAGCTGCTTCAGTCAGCACCATTCATGGGCCCTGCCTATAGGCTCCCCTTCATGCCCAAGCCAGCCATGGGCACCAGACTCCTCTGCTTGGTGCTCATCTGGCTCCTGGGGATAGGTGAGTGCTGGGCTAATGGATCGGCATCACTGCCCTTTGTTGTGGCTCTATAGCCAGACGTTCATGTGGCTCCAAGATTTTTGGAAAGGTATTGACTTTCAAATGAAAACAAATAATTGTATTATGGAGTAAAAAGCAAAATTCATGTGAATTTTTAATTGGACACAGGAGACTTCAAAGATATTTGATCTTGTCTTACGTTGCTTCATTGTAAGGTGCTCCCTTTATCTGCCATTATGATTCTATCTCGTGCAATCTTTTCTTTCCTGAAGTCCCACAAATGCAGGCACCATCCAGGACCCAAGACACTTGGTCAGGGTGAGAGGCCAGGACGCAACACTGAGTTGTGGTCCAGTGACAGGACACAGTCATGTTTACTGGTGTTGGAACCTCTTGCAGGAAGGTGTGAAATTCATGATGTACCTGCAGAAAGAAAACATCATATATGAGTCATGAATGCCAACAAGATACTTTTCTGCTGAATTTCCCAAAGAGGGACACAGTGTTAAACATCCAGCTGGCAGAGCTGGGAGACTCAGGGGTGTATTTCTGTGTCAGCTCCTGATCCACGTCAATAGAGACTCACATCCTCTCAGCGCACAAACACCTTCAGGACCCTGCCAGGGAAACAGTGTGATCTGGGGGAGGGGACACGTTGTTTGATTAGGGAATAAATCAGCCATAGGGCATTTAGTGAGGTGAGGATGGAAATAGGGGAAGACCTAGAAATATCATCAATCATGCCAGCCCATGCTCAGGAACTAAGATTCTCTCACCTGAAAAACGTAAAGATTTTTAAAATTCATAGCTATTTCAAGTTCTCAATTCCATGATTTAAATAAAGAATTTTATTTAATCAGCAAGAGAATCAAGCAACGGAAATATTGTCTTCCTTTTCAACACGAGAAAACATGATGGCAGAAGTTCGTTTCTCTTTCTCAAACTCAAAAAGAAAGAAAAGGAGAGAGAGACAGGAGACAAACCCAGTTTCCTCTGGTTCAAAGCGTTGTGCTTTTTATACCCCACTGTGCTGCCTTTAATTCTTTCTGGAATAACCCAGGCTTTGTCCCTTGCCTAACGCCTATGCAGGTATGTGTGGATGCCAGGATTATAAGCTCCTGCTATAGCATATCCGAGAGATGGTGGAAGTAGAGTTGGATAAATTTGTCCGGAATTTAGGAGATAGGACTGGCTCCAAAATATGGTTCAATAGGAAAACATCTCCTCACATTTTTGTTGTATCAGTGAATAATTTTTTTATTCTCATCACACAACAAATGCCAGGCACCTAGAGAAAGGTGTTTATTTTCATTTGCTTTGATGAAACAATTTCAGAAAGTCATCAGGCAGACGAATGCAAGGTCACTTCAAATGCACACGGCCCAAGGAAGTGGCCCCTCACCAGGATCCAGTGTAAACTATGTCGCTTAGCTGTTTTCTCCCTTTGGATTTTCCGAAATTTTTTCATCACCCTCGTCCCTCTGCTCCATGTCCTGGAGGAGAAGGTGGAGCAGAAAGACTGTGAGGGGCACAGAGGAGGGGCAGTGACTGAGCCTCAGGGGACGATGAGAGACCACCAGAAAAGATACCACCTGAGTCAGATCAGACAGGACCTGAGGAAGGAGGTTTCAGGGTGCACTCACTCTGCTTACAGAGCCAGGCACACGATTGACAGGGGTCCCCTTCTGAATGTACAGATTCTGAGGGAGAAAAAAAGGCATAAAAAAGGAAGAAGGGTCCTATGGCAATTGGGTGGTGAAGGGGCAAAGGAGAGATGGAAAACTTAGAGTCCTGAATAACAAAAGAAAATCACAAAATAAGAGAACTCATAGCCCACTCTCTCAACACCATTGAAACAAACAAACAAGCTTCTTGAGTGTCTGAACTTCACTAGAATGACTGGAAAAGTTTCCATTAATATGGGTATATTGTAAAACAACTCTACATCACACAAAGGAACAAGAGGAAAGCACAATCCATAGAGTGGAAGAAAATCTTTCATCTCTCAGCGTCTCCCCCCAAAAAATCATGAGTCAGAATAAAAGGTAAAAATACACTCCAAACAGAAATAAATATATTTAAGCAAGCAGCTGAATAGAGGATAACCCACCTACAACCTGAAGTTCAAAATGTAAGAATACAAAAACAAAAACAGGAAGAAATGGGGGAAGAAAAACAGGTAGAGAGACTCAGGAAAATAATGAAAGAAAAAGACAAAATAATCTGAGAAATGAAGAATAAGTTGAAGAAAGGCTAGGACAAAACTAGGAGAATGAAAATGACAGAGAATAAGCAAAATGAGCCAGACAAGGTGCTGGAATGAAAATGAGGACTTAGCCCTAATGCAGAGGAGGATCTGGAGCAACTGGGCTCCTGGCAGATCTGAGTAGTACCTGTCCATCCTGGCCACAGACACCTCTGGACACACACCAGGGGTCACTCTTTCCTCTGGGAGTGGATGGGATTACAAGTGAATTCTGCCTTCTGTGTGACCAGAGTGTCTGCAGTGCTCCCATAGTCATCAGACATCAGCATAAGTAGGAAGGGAAAATCCAGTGGGCCAATCAGAGGAGACCCTGGCCTGGAGATGTGGGGGTGCCAGCCCACTCAGACAAGGCTGAATGCAGTTTCAGGAGGGAGGCACAAGGGCACAGCAAGTGATTCAGGTCCACCCTTTCAGTCTCCTCTTCCACAGAATGAGGGAGCTCATCACGAATATCTCCAGGATCCCTTCCAAATATCCAGTCTAGCCTTCTGACAAATTCTGCATATTAAGGCAATGGGATCCCCAGAAGTAAGTTTCTTTCCCCCTTTGTCTTCCAGCAAGTACTTGGAACTACAAGGAGACCCCCTGCCCACTATGGGAAAACAGGTGCTCTGCTTGGTGACCCTTTTTCTCCTGGGAGCAGGTGAGGCCTTGATACAAGGAGAAAACTCCTCTCCCCAAGGTACCACGGTCAAGTACTAAGGCTTTCTCTGTGACAGCAGCATTAGGAACTTGCTTGGGTTGTGTTTCCAGAGGTTTTCTCTCTCTTCCACAGGCACCATGGACGGTGGAATCACTTAGAGCCCAAAATATCTGATCAGAGAGGAAGGACGAGATGTGAGCCTGGAATGTGAACAGAATTTGGATTACAATGCCATGTCCTGGTACCGACAGGACCCAGGACAAGGGCTGAGACTGATCCACTATTCGCCATTTGTAAAAGGTGTTCAGAATGGAGACATATCTGAAGGCTACGGTGCCTCCTGCAAGAAAAAGGCATCCTTTCCTCTCACTGTGAAATCAACCCAAAGAACCAGACAGCCCTGTATCTCTGTGCCTATAGTAGAGACACAGTGATGAAAGGCCACCTCCTCTCTCTGATAAATGTGTCCCAAACCCTGCTTCCTCACCGGTGGCAGGGCTTTTCTGGACTCAGTACCCTGATCTGCCAGCTTTCCTCCAATTCAGCCAGGCCCACAAAGCAATTGCTGCCATCAGTGCTCTTTGTGGAATGGCAGGGTACTTCAGCGATCCACTAAGTCATTTTTAAACATGACATATATGTGTATATCTATTACTATATCTAACAACATCATGGACAGAGAGACAGAGAGGAGGAAGGAGAAAAGTAGAAGGAAGAGGAAGAGGAGGAGAAGGTAGATGAGGAAGGAGAGAGGAGAAGAGAGAAGAGATGTTACTTTTACAACCCTTTCTCTTTTCTATTTTACTAAACTCTTGAAAAACAAATTAAGAGAAAATGGTCTCTTCCTTCAGAAAAGTAATAGAAGTCTAGTGGCGAGGGAAATATGTAGAAGACAAATAGTGTGATCTAATCTCATACATGCGTGCTTTAATCAGAGGTGTTATGGACTAAAGGACTATGAGAAATAACGCGGCCAAATCGGTCTGTGACATCAGGAAAGGCTTCAAAGAGAAAGCAAAATGTGAGATGAAACTCGAAACTTGAATAATGGGTTTCACCAGATGCACAAGCACCCCCTGAGTGATACAGGCTTCGGGAACTATGTTAGAAAAGAATGATAAGATAAGATCAAGAATAAAGGTGATGAACTCCCTCAAATATGGCAATAAGAGAAAATCTGGAAGAAGGAGTGGAACAAATTTACCGTACAATGTTGAGTTTCCACTTCAAGAGGACCTTCTTTGTACATCTGCGTACACGTATCCAGTAGACTTCTGTGAATGCACTTGGCACTAAGGAGAGTGAGGCTTGGGGGAAATATTTGCATGAATAATCAACAGACAGGTGGTCAGTATCATTTTGCAAATCTTCTTCATGTTTTCTGCATATCCTCACCCTTTGTCATCTGCCACCTAAGAATGGAATTAGAAGGCAAGTGGTGTTAAGTCTTGGGACTGCATTTGTTTACGAGCTGTTATTCGATCACATTAACTCAGTTTCTGGAAATGTATGAGAGTCTATACTATTCAAACTCACTCTCACACTGCATCCAACGAAAAATGCTGAATGAAATATGTTTTTAAATATTTTTAGAAGCATTTAAGAACCGCAGTCGGTCAATCATTAACCGTGAACTCAGAAACTCATGAACATGAACCATGTTCTTGATGACTTCAAACTGGAAATCACTTAAAGGTCCATCAAAAATGCAATGGATGAATAAATTATGTTACATATATAGAAGAATAAAATAGAGCAAAGAATCAAATATTACTTGCAAACTCATGTATGGATGAATCTCATAAACAGAATGTTGAACTAAAGAAGCCAGACGAAGAGTACATACCATACAAATTTTAAATAATGGCTACATTTGGGGGCATTTTCCATTTACTTGGAGTGAAGCATGAGGGAGGTTTCTGGAGAGCTGAAAATGCTCTATATCTTGATCTGGGTGTAGTTACATATTGTTTTTCTTTGTGAAAATTCAGTAAGCAGTATGCTTAAGATTTGTGCAGTCTATTATATGTATTTTATCTCTCACTTAAAAAGCTTAGAACACCACAACAATAACAACCACCACTCCAAAATGTAGTGACTTAAAATAAAAACATACTCTCTCTCATGGTTCGGAAGTTTAAATTGGGTGGCCTGGGCAGTTCCCACTTGGGGTCTCTCAGGTTGTCAGAGTTAGATAGTCACAGAAGCTGGAGATACCTGAAGGCTCACCTTGGCTGGACATCCAAGATGGCTTCTTTATGCTCATAACTGATCCCTCACCTTGGAGGGCTGGAACTGCTGTGGACCAGCCTGGCATGTCTCTCTTTCTACACACAGCAGCTCAATGGTTAGGTGGGTTTCCTCATGGCACAGTGGCCTCAGGGTAGTTAAAATTATCACATGGTGGCTGACTTCCCCAAAAGTGTGCATTCAAAAGGCCCAGGTGGGACCTACAAGGCTACTTATGACCTATCCTGGAAAATCATGCAGTATTGTTTCCTGCACATACAAGCTAGTCCAGAGTCAAGAGGAAGGGACTGACAAGAACGTGAATACTGGGAGGTGTGGTTCATCTGGGTGACATCCTTGAAGAGTAGCTACCATAATGTGATAAAGTGGTACTTCTGATCCTGTTCCTCACTGCTTTGGACCAATATGATTTCAGAGCTTAAGAACAGCTGCTTCATTTGCAAATGATTTTCCTGACATCAACTCTTATCAAGAACTACACCAGGAAGAAGGTTCTGGGAAAGGCATTTATTCATTAGTTAAGTTGATATAGTAATATAAACCACAGGTCTATACCTGATGTCTGGTGGTCCTCAGAAGGAGTAGAAAGATTTTCCTTTGACTGAGGGACTTCCAGTGACTTTATCTCATATCTGTCATAATTACACAAACAAGACTGCATTGCAGGTTACACTCATCTACTTTTTGCAGGAAACATACAGTTATAGTGAGAGATGGTCACAGTATAACGTGCCATGTACCAAACATGATAAATATATAGCCACAGGAGCATGTCAGATGCCCTTTAGTCCACATATCAGGCTTATGTGTACAGGAATATTCATTATGCAATAATTACACTTGCTGTGATAAAAATCTATGTCACTACAGTACAAACATAATTTGATGGGTCAAGTCCTAATTCCCCCTCTTAGTTACCCACTCCAGACACAAATCATTAAATGATAATTGAAGGCACAACTGGGAGGTTGTTATAAAAATGAACGTATAATGCCTTGGAGAAAAATCTTCAGCCGCCATGAACTTCCTACACATTTACAGGCATGAGGCATTTAAAACAAATATACCACCATGTTCAAAGCAGAAAGAATTCCCTAACTCTGTTAGGATCTATTTCTGTTGGTCAATACTTAGTTTATGACCTGTATCATGGTGAAATAGCTATAAATAAATTATCCTCACAGCCTCCTCAGTGCTTTACATGATGAGACATAGACAATAATAAGTATGTTTTGTATTGAGTCCATTAATATGAAGGGAATCAGCATGAGAGAGTTGTGAAATAAATACCTCATTTAGAAGATGAGCGACTATCCTTACCATCAATATGAAGAAACATTGAACTCCTAGACTGGAATTTCTTTTGCTCCCTCATAGTTCTGGTGATGAGAAAACTCAACCGTGAGTTGGTGTTGTGTGCTGGTGTCAGCTTCACGATAACCAATGCTGTGCCTAGACTGGCCCTTCTGGTTCTTACCATTGCAAGATGCCTTCAGGAACAACCTTTAGGAGCCTTGGAAGGAAAAGCAGGTGTATTACTTACAAGTCCTGGAAATTACATAGCACACCACAGGCTATATAGCAAGGTCTCAGGTAGAGAACAAGCATGCACAGGCCTTTGGCTATTCTTTTATTGGGGTCAAGGGTGAGGCTGAGGGTTTCTTTGCTCCCTCTGTGATGGTGAATATAAAATATAAAATCAACAATTTAAAAGACTAGAAGAGAAAAAACAAGTGGCCCAAGTAGTCAGTTATCAAAAGTAAGGTCTCTAAAACAAAGGAGCCTGGTGTACATGAGGACAGCTGGGAGGTGGTCTGGCTCTTATCTAGTTAGGTGTCTGGCAATTTGTTTAATTGACGTAGACATCATTGAAGTTGAAGCCTCTTTGAATTGGATGCCTCAAAATCAAAGCTTAAGTTAGGTACTAGCACAACAAAATAGGAAAACTAACTTCAGGGCTTACACTATACTTGCTAATTTTCAGGTATGTCACAGAAGTAATGAAATCACTACAATGCTTTTTAAACACAAACACGTACCCCTTTCTTTACATAAGGCTAAGCAACTACTTTCAACCATTTCAATGATCTAGATCTCAGTGCATCTTCTCTAATTTACGAGTTGAATTAGAACATTTTCGAGGCCCCTTACAGCAATGTATGTATGGTTCTTTGATAGTCAGAAAGAGAAATAGATCCTACATCATTAGCCAAAATCACCACCCGGGGGCAGATGAGAGCATCCTCAGGATTATGTAAACTGTCATCCAACCTTCTAGGAGCAAAAAGAGAAGAATGAGGAGCATGGTCATAGCTCTCTTGAGAGAATTGTGGTGTGAG